AGACTAACTTTTACGTTGTGGTTTTAGAAGACAATACAGGTTTACTGATAGCATTTATGTGTTTACAATAACTTTTGTGGGGGGGACCACTTTGTGTGAGTGGGGAACGCGTCCCCGCCGTCCCCCCCGGGATCTCCGCCTATGCCCCCAGACTCTGGAACTCTCTCCCCCTGAGCCTGAGATCAGTGGACTCAGTGGTCTCCTTTAAAAAGCAGCGGAAGACTCACTTGTTCAAGCTGGCTTTTGTATGACCTTCTTCACCTCTCTCTCTTTATTCTGCTCTCCCCACCTATTCCACCTTCCTCAGGATCCACTGATTTCCCTCTTTCCTATTCACTCTCTTTCTTTCTTAACATTTCTTTAAATCACAATTGCTTATCTTTGCTCATTTTAAATATGTTTTTGAACATTTTCTAAATGCTTTTTTATATTTTTACATTTTTTTTGTTTTTGTGAAGCGCCTTGTGATTTTTATCTTGAGAGGTGCTATAGAAATGATATTTTCTTCTTCTTCTTGTCATTTTCAGTAACCTCTCTCTCATCTGCAGAACATAAGAGATCACATTAACAGGACCCTCCCCTCTCTCCTCCCCAGGCCATGTCTCTTTCAAATTAAGCCAGAGGTCCCCGCACCTCATGCCCATACAAAAGTTCAAAAGGAGAGAAGCCCGTTGAGGCTTGGGGTACCTCCCTGTAGGCAAAGAGAAGATAAGGCAACCACTGATCCCAGCACTAAGAGGCGGAAGTGACTCCCCCTTCTGCCTGACCTGAGAGCGAGTAACCACAGCACAGTTCAATGGAGCCTGAATCAAGTTAACAGGACTGGTAAGTCACCACCCAACACCACTGGAATAGGAAGGCTGTTTAACACTCCAACTCTCAGCAAATGAACTTGTCCTTGAACTTTGATATACAGGTTGGCAGTAGGATACCTCCGCTCATCGCCGTGTTCACATTGGATAGGAATCGTGTCTAACACATTAACAAGGGAATGCGGGACCAGGGTTCTTTCCACTAGTGTCTGAACACTATCTGTGTCAGTCAAAGCTTCCACACTCCTCCCATTTACTTCCACTTTGGTAACTTGTAGTGGTAGAGCACACTTTAGGTTTTTCTTTTCTTTTGCTGGAACAACACACAGTTGAGTAGTTTTAGCAGTGTTCTCGGGGCACATAGGTTTAGTATGGCCTCACAGTCTGCACAAATAGCAGAAAGGTTCTTTCTGATATTGTTTAGGAGACACCCATCTGGGCGAAGGTCCCTCAAGGGGCCCTTACCTGCCGTAGCCATTGCTGGTTAGTACTGAGGTTGTCCATATGGGGATCTCCGATTATCTTTCTCTTTGGAAGTCTTCCAAGCAGTGTAACTCCAGGGTTGTCCCTTGTGTCTCGCTGCGACAATCACCTCTGCCAATGAGGCTGCCTTGGAAGCAGATTGAGGGTCATGTTCCCGAACCCAAATCTGAAGCTCAGGGGATAGCATACGCAGAAACTGCTCTAAAATAATAATTTCGCCAATGTCTTTAATAGTTTTACCTTGGGGGTGGATCCATTTGTCATAGAGCTCTTATAGCCTGTCATATAGCTCTTTAGGAGTCTTCAGCCTCCATCGAGCGGAACATCTGCCGATAAGCCTCTGGGTTGACATAATATTTTCTGAGAATAGCCCCCTTAACAGACTCATAGTCACGTACCTCCTCAACGTCCATGTGTACATAATAGTAACTTTCCCAACACTGATCTTAAGACATGTGTTGAACCAACACATTCTCACTCCCAGCGCGTCAAAAACAAACTCTTGGTCAGCCACCCTCCGCGTCAGACCCTTGACACCAAAAGTGCCCTTTTTCATTACTTATGTGCGAAAAGGGGTTTTTCCCTTTTCTGACTGCAGATCCCAATGCAGCGTAAAACTGACGCGATGGGATGTCTGCTGATGCGGCACTGAACCAGCTCATTTAACCACACCTAAACCTTAACGTTTTACTATTTATAACCTTCCCCTCACCCTCATCCTAACCTTAACCCTCTTGCTACCTAAAACGTTACTCTCACTGTGATCAAGTGTCTGTTTCCCATGCATTCTGTCTGTGAATTTTCGTATTTGCCACCCAAGGGGAACGTTAGAACATACCATCTGGTGAGGGGGAGGTTACAAATACCCTCTACTTTTAACCTCCACCATGGTAGTTGAAACCTCCCCCTCGCGGTGCCTCCGTCCAAACTCGACCAATGACGAGGCGGCTCCCTCCGTTCACTTCATAGAGCCGGCTTTCAGAGCGACCGACACATCACTAACGTGTTCGCTAGCAAGATGGTTAAGGTTAGGATGGGGTGAGGGGAAGGTTAAATAAAAATAATAAGGTTAGGGTGAGGTACAATGAGCTTGTTTGGTGCCCTGGCTACGGACATCCCATTGAGTCAGTTTTACGCTGCATTGGGATCTGCAGTCAGAAAAGGTAAAATACCCTTTTCGCACATAAGTGACGAAAAAGGGCACTTTTGACGTCAGGGGTCTGACACGGAGGGTGGCTAACCAAGCGTTTGTTTTTGACGCGCTGGGAGTGAAAATGTGTTAAGAGCAGTGTTGGGAAAGTTACTTTTAAAATTAATTATAGTTACTAATTACTTTGTCAAAAAAGTAACTCAGTTACTTAGAGAGTTACGAGATTATAAAAGTAACTAATTACCAAGAAAAATAACTACTTAGTTACTTTTTTCATTAAAGATGCAAGAAAAATGGGTTAATTAAACTTATTTAATTTACTATAAATGACTACAATAATGAAATATAAATGAATATTGACTGGAACATAATAAAATGTATGTCAAAATGTTTTTTATAAACCTGAATAATTTAAATAAATAAGCACTTAACAGGAGGAACTACTAACAGGAACATTACACTAATCTAGACTATTAAAAGGTCACTGTGTGATATTTAACAAGACCCCAATCAGCTAAAATTTAAAATTGCAAATAGAAATGCCTGTAAAGGTTCCCGAGCCTTTAAATTGTCTCTCAGTCTAGTTAAATTACAGAAATGAATGTAATTTTGTACAGTATTTTAATTTTTCCAGCTTCACATAATTGTGTGTTTTTAGTAGCATTTCTGTTGCTCTAGTACTGGTTAAATAATTAAAATCCTTTAAAATGACACTAGAAGAGGCACAAATCTGATGGAGGACTCAAATGTTCTAACAGGGTCAGACCCAACCACAGAAGAGCTGAAGCTGGGTGGTGAACACACACAGGTAGTTGTAATAACACCTGAGCTCCATGACGTCTGAGACTGATGCATCAGTGTTACAGCGCGACTAAAGACATGATCAGAAACAGGTTCCAGCTGGATGATCTAGGAAGGTAGAAGATCAGGACGTCTGAGCAGTGAACAGGTGAGCGGACCTTCGGGATGTCCCGCTGTCACGCTAAGAAGGACACGGCTGCAGATCCACACCTGCAGCCGTAGACTATTCATCACGTCTTCCTCATTCTTCACGGCCGTGATGCGCTTGGATGAAAACATCTGCCTCTTTAGCTGCTGATCAGCTGATGACAGCTTCTACACACCAAGCTGCTTGACGCACGCATTTCCTTTTCAGTAAAAAGAAACAACGTTTTGATAAAAGAAGACAGTAATTAATTAGTTTGCTCGTTACTGAAAAAAAAAATGTTTTAGTAACGTGATTATTTTAAACGGTATTATTCCCATCACTGCTCTGTTGTGTCTACAGCAGGCAGCGACTGAGACAGTGAGAACACTGAGGGTCTCCTCCCACCCGGCCAATCATCATCATGTTTGTAAGTGCGTTACCGACACCTCTCTCTCCCTGGCTGCAGCTGAAGTGTGGCGGTCAGAAAGCCTCACGCTGTTGCTCAAAGTTTGACAAGCACGTAGTAACGCACAACCTTCCGTCCCCAGTAACGGTAACGGCATTGCAACGGTGGGAAAAGTAATTAATTAGATTATTCTGTTACCCAAAAAAAGAACGCCGTTAGTAACGCCGTTATTTTAAACGGCGTTATTCCCATCACTGCTTAAGGCTGTGGTTGGCACTAAATGCGCTGTGATTCATTATCGTGTGATTGTTCAGTAAAACAATGTTGATTTTATATTTCTTCATCAAGTTGACGCAGTGATAGCTTGCTCCTGTTATATTGTTGTGTGTCCCTTTTCTGCAGGTCTAGAAGCAGACTCTTGTTCATCATTGATTGTTTTTTTGTGGAAAACCCCCCGCCACACACACACACACGCACACACACACACACACACACACACACACACACACACACACACACACACACACACACACACACACACACACACACACACACACACACACACACACACACCTTTTGTCTCTTCCTTTCTCTTTCACCTCTGTCTCCGTGTCTGGTCGGAATTACAAAGCATTCAAAAACAATAACAATAAAGTTTTAAGTATCAGGCGTGACATTAAAAGCAGACGCTTTGATGCTCCACCTGAGAGTAAATCTGTAAGGCTTGTCACCAGCATTCAGACATCAATTCTGTTTGCTTCACAGCCAGACAGGACACAGGGGGGAAAAAAATGTACGAATGCATCCAAAAACGGGTTTGGATGTATTTTTCCTGAGGAAACAACAACATGACACGGTGAAAAGCTCCACAAAGCGGATTTTCCTCTTTAAAAGCCCATCCAGTGACAAATGCTGCAAAATAGCTTTTGCTAGAAGCATTATGCTATGCCGTTTTGCAGTTTGTTTGTGGATCCGTCTAAATTATAAAATAATCTTAAAATAAACTTAATTAAATGATTCAGCAGAAGTTCTTCTGCGAACTGGAACTTCAACTCAGAGTTTATCAGCTCCAACTATGGTTTCATTAACCTGTCACTAAAATACATCCCATAATGATATGATAAACGGGTTTGCCAATGTCTGTTGCCAACTAAATTCCAAGTAAGAAAAGAGGTTCATGTCTCTTGAAGTGAAGGGGCATCAGCAACAGAAGTCTTTTACCTCGACGGGGAGGGGCAGCCAGGCCGTGGCGGGTCTGTGGACGGGTGGGAGGCTTCAGTTCTGGTGGGAGGGGGATGCCACTAGGAGTCTGTTGGTAAAATCCAGACAGGAAAAACGGAACACAGCAGCTAGTTTACATTTTAACCATATGTGGACGAAACTACTTCATGTGTTTTTATTTTTTTCAGTTTTATTAAAAACATGCATGTAAGTCAGATATAAATGCATTTTAAAAATCCAGTACATTACATTGTCCTTTTTGCCTTTGGAAGTCTTGATGTCTGCAGTTTCAAGCAGGGACGCTGGCAGGAATCCTCTCTGAGACAAAGACATGAAATCTCATAAAAGATCATGTGTTTGTTCTTTTGTCACTTTTACAACTGAGGAACTTTTCATTGAGTTTACAAAATTCTGAATTTACTCCGTTAAATGTTCAATATCATGCTATTTTAATCCTTTGAAAGAAAATGTAGGCACATTATACAGTATGACTAAAATATTGGCACTATTGAGATGTAATTTATGTTAAATATGAGTTGTTTTCATCAGCCTGAATTCATAACCGGAAATGCCCACACTCGCTCCAGCAAAACACACCTACACCAGCGTCTTAGATCTGTCTCCCCTGGTCGGCCAGTTCGGAACAAGCATCCTTGAGACATCTCTTTTAGCACACAGTGCACCTGTTTGCATGCTGCAAGCTGGCACAGCCAGGCGGCTCCCTAAGAGCCACATCCACTTTGGACGCAAACAAGCATTCCAGCTACTGTTGTGACCTGGAGACATCTCAAGACTGGACGGGTCGTGTCATGGAAAATGTATGTGTATTAATTCTTGATCATTGACTCAATCAACTGAATGTAAATGTATTGCTCTATGCCTCTTTGCACGCTCACTCACTCAGGCACACACACACACACACAATCTCTCTCTCTCTCTCTCTCTAAATAAACTCTGTGAACAGATGTTTGGGGCATTTTGCCTCGTGCATTGTGCCACAGTTATAACTGTTCGACTCGTCTGTTCCTTGTCTCCTTTTTCTCTCCGACTACAGGAAATGGTTTATCGATAAACATATTTATAAAATCCATGACATTATTTGGTCCTTCGAAAGCCGGGGTCCCATTACCTCGCGGCGCCAAGAACCGACGCCGGAGGACTGTCGACAAACTAATCTCCTCCAGCACCGAGTTTTGCTGGGGGGCCGGTGGGGTCTTGACGTCGCTAGGAGGAATGCGGATCCACGAACTCAAGCCCTGAGTGGAGAGATTTAGTGAGACAAGTTTGTTGTTTGTTTTGTGGTACCGAGAGAAATCCTAGGTGACCAGAGGTTAAATTGGTTTTTGAATGTTTTAGCTGGAAAATATAAACGGAAGTAAGCAGATTTCTGGAATGCTGTTATGAGTGCACCGGTGTGATAACTGAGAGGTGGCCAGGTGAGAGATGGCCTGGCTCGTGAGCGTTAAGCCTCTAATAGAAACGCAACTCCAGTTGTCATTGTTGGTTGTGTAGTCAGAGAGAAAGATAAAAAGATTCCGGGAATGTTGTATTGGCTTGGTTTTTTCGAGCATTTTTGCCAAAATATAAATGCAACCCTGGTGAGATAAAGTTATAAATGATAAATGAATAGAAATGCTACTAAGAGGTAAAATTGGTTTTTGGGCTTTGGCCAGAAGTATAAACGCTAATCTAATTTGGCCTGGCCTTTGGGCGTTTAGCCTTGAATAAGAAACGCTACTCTAGTTATTTTCTTGTTAGTTGTTTCATGTTGTCTTTAATTTATGTTTGAACGAATGAGAGTGTGCCCGGACTTGCCTTATCCTTGTAGAGAGAAGGATATAGCAACTCATTATACTCCTGTCTCACGTATCAGTGGTCAGAGTTTTAAACAGGTTGGCGGACATGCCGTAAATCGAGTCCCGCTGTGGTTAAATACACAGTCAAAGGGCAGATTTGTAAGCCTAAATTTGACCTCATACCGAAGAAACGACGGTGTAACATTTAAAAATGGGAAATAAAACCTCACAACCCGTTTTTTCATGTTCAGAATGCACGCTGTCCACGGTGGTGGACATGTAGTAAAATTATTTGCAAATTACTAAATGTCACAAACAATATTTGCCGAAATTTGTTACATTCACACCCAAAGATGAATGAAAGTAACTGTTAAAAAATCATGGCTGAAGATTTCATAATTCATGCATCAAAAGCAGTGGCGGTTCTACATCGAATTACTCCCCGGGCGAGGCCCCCTTTGAGCGCCCCCCCCCCCCAACCGCCCCCCCCCCCACCACCACCACCACACCACCCCACCTGCATGAACACACGCATGTTTTCTACAAACAGGCATGTTTTATTAGAACGACTATTGAACATTCATTTTTCTAAGTTGCACATATTTACAATAATTACTATGAAGCTATCAGAATGTAAAGCAACACACATTATATACTGTATCAAAATATATAGAATCAAATATACAAAAACAAACAATAACTAAATATTAAGAATATATGAACATAATAGATAATAAATATTCTAAATAGCAAAAATATTTCACACATAACAAACTAAAGATAATCACTACAGCATTGCACTTAGAACAGAAAACACAAACTAAAATTAAAACCTAACCTTGATGCAAAGTCATCAATAATGTCATCACATGAAATCTGCTCCCCTACTGAGTGATTGATACTAATCAGAGCCAGGTTAGTGAGCCGCCCCTGAAACATAGGTGACCTCAGGTATGACTTGATCAAGTTTTGAAAAGCTCCTCTCAGCTTGAGCCACAGTGACTGGCAGAGCAGTCCAAAAGTTGGGGTGGATCTCCAATAGATCTCATGATCCATAATATTTTAGAATTGCCTCTGAAATTGTAATTTAAACTGACATAAAAAACTGTAGACTACCAAAAATGCCAACTTTTACAGAACAAATCATGTAAAAAATAATCAGTGCAGCCATCTGCAATAAATAAACAGGATAGTTAGTGGTGACTGGAGAGTTCTCTTCTGCTTGAAGAGTCGTTTTATTTATTATTATGTGAACATGATCAACATGTGTTTGTTGTTGTTCAGGCAGGCCACAGGCTGCAGTGAGCATTTAACAAATCCTAGTTTGAATCACTAAAAAACGATTCAAGGACTTTTTTCCAACCATTTGAATATTCGTTTCAATATTTCAGCCCTATTAGCTCTGTTAGCCATTAGTTGACCGCATTTAACCGTTAAAATCCCAGTTAACTGGTTCAAAAAATTGAAAACATGCATCATGAGAGCTACATACCTTTATCTTTCTCCTCTTTTTTCTTTTTTTTCCCCCTGAATGGGGCACCTGGTGGTTTTAGCCTTTTTATGTTCATCTCTTCTGTTTGGCTCCTGACTCAGTAAGTTTCCTTTAGTCAGGACTAAACTATTTGACCTTGATGGGGGGGTGACCACAAAATCGTTTTGTTTTTCCTTTTTTTATTCGGCCATTTCACACAATTCAGAGAAACCTGAAAGAATGATAGGCCTGTGTTTATGATATTATGAATGAAATATGGAAGAACGTTAAGATGTGATTGACCTTAGCCATGTTAATACAGTTGATTCAGCCCCTGCACGCTCATTTCATTTGGGAAAGACGCAGAGGTGAATTCCCCCGCCACACCCCTCCCCTTCCTGTTCTTCATAGACACACGGTGCACGTGAGCGCCTGCAGCTGCAGGGGGCGCCAACTTGCTGTTTCCAATCCAGACACTGTCATATGACAGATAATAGAAAACCTCGGTGTGGCGCAGATTTCCTTTTTTTTTTTTTTTTTTACTCCGCGCTTGTGCGCCCCTTTTGTGTCATGAAAAAATGCCGCCCCGGGCAACTGCCCTGTCTGCCCGTGCCTAAAACCGCTACTGATCAAAAGGTTAAGCACCGGCCAAATATTTAATTCCTGGTATTCTGGTGATTAAAATAATTTGAACTGTAAACTGTGTCGCTTTTAGTGGCTGAAAGTGAAGAGTTTTTGTGGAATCCCTCAATTTGAGACATTGACTGTTTATCAGTACTTGGTAGTGAATGAGTGCCCAAATGAAAGCTAAGAGTGTATATTTTAGTCAAAACAGTGATCCCAGACCAACAAACCTAGTGACTACTGCCAAATTGCATTTTATCTCCTTATTTATTTATTTATTTATTTATTTATTTTTTATCTTTGTTTCTGACGCTTAAAACCAAGACAAGGGAGTTCAGTGGAGGACAATCACACCCGGGTGAACATAATCTGGTGGGCAGTACCTGTTGAATTCAAAAACTGCATTTTGAACACTCTAAAAATGTCGGCTATCATCTATTGAATCTTTCTGGCATCTGTTAAATTTAGGAACTTGTTCAGATCTCTAATTAGCGGACCTTGTGATCAGAACAAGGGGAGAAACTGTCTGGAAGTAAAATTAAATGAGACAGCAAATTAAAGCTGTTGTAGGGAATTAGCATTTAATACGTTTTAATCCTTTTAATTCTTCATGTATTCCCAGATTGGGAACCTTGAAATGATTTGACACAGAATTTCACGCTCGTCTGTGTCTGGGTTGAACAGCACGGTCGTATCAGAATGTAAACACACATTCTAACAGAGCTTGGGCACAAGAGACAAAATACTCTATCAGCCATGTGATTCTTAAGCAGAAATCAGAAAAGCTTCTAATATAATTCCTAAAAGATAAAATACCAAGAAGGAAGAGTAACTCCGAGTTGTTAATTTAACTTCAAATCTGGTTATGGATAAGTTAATGTTTTGATTTAAATATGGGTTTTGCACACTTTTAAATTTAGAATGAAGTAGCTGGACAGTTGATGAGAGCTCTTCTGTCCTCTTTGGGATGTAAACATCGGCTCATGTTTCCTAAACCGGTAGAGATTACGGTAATGTTGACACCGCTGCTTGGCCTTGCTCACTTTGGAATCTGGAGAAATAAAGTTATGGAGTTCTGACTGAAACTCTTAATATTGGTAAAATTTAAACCAATTAATGAACAGATTTATTGCTGAACACATCAACAACTCTCTGATAACCTAGCCTAGACTTGAGCCCGGGTCCTCTGCGTGTCAGTCGGGTGTCTTACTAGTTGAGCTTTCTCTTTGACAGATTTTCACTGAAAATATTTCTGTCAGCAAAAATTATGTTTAAACCCAGCAAACCTTTGGATGGTTGATGACAGCCGAAACAACGTTAGTCCGATAAAAGTTTGATATTTTTAAATATGAACTATTATTACTATATTTTCAAAGACAACTAGTTCCAAAATGACAGTTGAATTAATGTCTTCTGCGGCCATCATG